TTCTATGGTTTCTGATCCCTTGACTAGCTTAGTTTAAATGATTAACCCCTTCCCCAAATGGTTCCTGGTTAAATACTCTCAAATCTAGCAGGTACTGCAATGGATATCTTCTCTAGCCTGCCATGTAGAAGAAGTTACTTCTGGAGTAAAACACCACACTTTTTGCAGCTTACAATAACTGTGGGCTTTTCTTCAGGCTAGGGCTGCTGGCGCAGTCTGCCGCTTGTCCCTGGGACTGCTGATCCTCCTGGGGCTTACCTTGTGTTTGCAAAGACAGGCACCCTTGCTTAGCATTCCAGCCTGCTTCCTTCTAATCTCTGTGTCATCTTCAGTTTCTCCAGTTTCTCTGTAGTTTCTAGTTCTCCTGTCAGCTCTTGCTTGATTTCCAGAGATCTACTGCTTCTCTTTCTTCACTAAGTTGTCGTTTTCCAGTTGTCTCGATTCCAGGTTATAGACAGGCTTATTTTGTTGCTTGTCTTTACTCGCCCTTTTTCCTTTTTTTTTCATGAGTGTTATGCCATCCAAGAGGAGGCACAACCTTTGGAACAGAATTGCAGAGCAAGATTACTTGGGTTCAAATTCTAGCTCTGCTCCCTGCTAGCTTGTTCAAGTTGCAGAATCTTCTTGATTCCTGATTTCCTTATATATCAAATGGAAAAATTAATTGTCCCTGGGTGGGAGAAAATAAAATAATTGTATTTTAGCATTGTTGTAAGGTTTAAGTAGCTAATAATACTATGCCAAACAACTTGAGTATTATAATTAACTCTCTTAAAATATTACAGTATAATTAATCATGACTTTCTTCTCTCGTTTGCAGTTTCTTTTCTTTTATTCATTTCCATTTTTCATGTACGAGCCTTCCCAGTGTTGGTTATTACCTTAGTCTGTTTTCTGTTGCTATAACTAAATACCTGCCACATCCAGTGCAGCTCTCAAACTTCCCAGGAGCAGATGGTGGAGGATGAAGAAATGAAGATGAGTCAGAATGCAGAAAGTGGAGGTCAGGAGGAGCCCTCCCGGGTGGGAGAAAAGAACTTCTGAAGGACTGCAGCACACTTATTTATACACTCAGGGGCTATTCTAGTTGAAACCCCTCTGCCTAGCAACTTGATTGCTTAGGGGCCAGGGATATAGCTCAGCAGCACAAGCGCCTGCCTGGCAAGCATAAGGTCCTGAGTTTGATTCCTGGTATCAATAACAACAACAAAAAAAAAGAATGCAACTTGATTGCTTAGCTCACTCTGGGCACCATGCAATCTTGGAGCTGGAGCAGCTTGTTCATGTGTCTCACCTAGGATGCTCCACACATGTGGTCGATCTCCAGCTTCAGCTGCTCCCCACAAATACCTGTGACCAGTACTTTATAAAGAAAAGAGGCTTATTTAAATCCCAATTTTGGAGGTTAAAGAGCAGGGTGCCGGCATCTGCTAAGCTCTGATGACGGCCTCATGGAGGATGGTATTGCACCAGGAGCTCATGGAGAAACAAGAGACCAGGGCAGGGCTAGGCTTGCTCTTTTGAAAACCACCCCCATGGGAACTCATCCACTTCTACCTGACCTGATCAACTGCCAGGAGGCCCTGACCCACCATGCCCACCTCCTCAATGCTGCCATACTGGGTAGAACTTCCAGTCACGGGAACCTGTAAGGGCACATGAACCACACCCAAACCATAGCTCTTAACCTGCTTATACAGGGGCTGGCATTAAAGTGCTGAATGAGCCGGGCGTGGTGGTGCATGACTGTAATCCCAGCACTCAGGAGGCTGAGGCAGGAGGATCGTTGTGAGTTCGAGACCAGCCTGGGCTACAAAGTGAGCTCAAGGCCAGCCTGAACTGCATAGCGAGACTCTGTCTCAAAAAGCCCAAAAAAAAAAAAAAAAAAAACCAAAAAAATAAACAAAGTGCTGAATGAAAGTTCTCTCTATAAAGGCAAAGACTGTCAACTAGTGTGGACAAACAACAAAGCATTCCCCTTCCCCTGTCCTGATGGAACTGGCTACCCTGTGTGATCAGGGACTTATTGGTAGACAACGTATTCCCTGCATCTACAGCACAGTAGGTGCCCAATAAACATTTGATATCATTATTAAACCTCTTTGAGCCACACTGTTTTCATATGAGAAGTGGAGTAAAAACATTTACCTGTGCTAGAATTTACATAGCTACCTAAAGCACCTGGCATAGTACTTAGTATTTAGCAGATGCTCAATGTATAACTACTGGCAATATTATCACTACCATTTCCAAGACAACAAGGCAGCTGCTTCATGACCATTTGCGCTCACCACTGATCGTGCTAAAAATAGAGGCAAAGCATGGTGCTTGTTGAGAGGCTAGTCTACTTATTAGTTATAAGTAAAGCAAGGAGAGGACTCAAGAAAAGCGCCCTTGACAGTCAGTGTGTGGAAATCCTAGGAACACTGGCTTCAGCAGTGATCTTTTTTTTTTTTTTTTTTTTTTTTTTTTTTTTTTTTT